CTTGCTAGATTCCCCAAATATTCATATTGTATTACAGTTTTCGAGTAAATCAATCCAATGTGAAAACACTGCTTTTTTGAACGTTCTAATTTCAATTTTTCAACTTTGAATGCGTATTACAGCAATATGGATAAGAGCACAGGAATGTATCTATACTTTAGCAGATATTTGGAAAATTGCTCACTGCTACTAATATTCGCGCCTCCCCTTAGACTAGTCTACGTCTCCCCAGGGAGGCACGCCTCACAGTTTGGAAAACGCTGTTCTAACGACACTAAAAAATAACTATTAAATCCAACTTAAACTGACTTCTATAAAATATGTACATAGGAGAGATACGGCAAGACAGGTAAACTCAGGGTTAAATGAGCTATAGGTCCGGGGCGTCAATTGTGTGTTTTCTTATGAACAGAGGCCCACAGGTTCAAATATCATAGGACGGCCCTGAGTATTCTATTACTTTTTGAATATGTATAGTTTATCAAATACAAAGGTCAATTAGAATAATAATTAATTTAATAAAGATATAATGTTTATTTTAACATTTTTGATTAAACATAAAAACATATAATAATAATAATATAAGGTAATAATAAAATAATTGGTATAATCTATGGCATTTCTTTAAATATAGTGTGAATCCTAGAGAACATCCTTTGCGATTGATTTGGAAACTTGGAAATTCCAATAGAAACCTAAATGTGATGTGTTTATTATTTTTCTATACGATGTGATTATTTGGCTAGCCAGATGTCAGAAGTGCAATCACCTCCTGGGTATCTGAAAATGAAAAAGACAATTTTATAAAATGCGAATAAATACATGAAAGTTTTTGATTATTCGGCGTTGTTTATGAGTTCGATTAAATTGTGTTTAGCGCGCGTTTTGTTTTGCATATGTAGGAAATGGTATACATAATTCATGTGACTTTTAGATATGCAATTGAAGAATATAAATGATTTATTGTGCGGACGCTAGAGAAATGCGAAATGAAGTTTAGCACACTGCTACTTCAAGGCTGACTTACCTCATTTCGTGGGCAAGGATTGATCCATGCGGGGTGTTTCCAAAGTCCACGATGAAATCCTTGTCGAGCGTCATTCCTCCGTTTTCGTGATCGATGTCGATCTTTGCGATCCAGCCTCCTGCTTGCACGGCGTCCGGGTAAAATTGTTTATCCCAAGTGGAATACAAGCTGTTGCTAACGTACAGACGTTTTCCGTTGAGGGAAAGCTGCAGCATCTGCGGTCCACCATGCAAACGCTTTCCTTTGATGATGACAGGATCATGTGGCACGTAGCTGTCGTCATCGACCACTTTGATTGAGGAATCGGATAGCAATAGACCACCCAGATAGACTTGACCTAAACAAAATTTAACGGTCAGTTTCATCGATTCATGTTATAATGTGGACGGGTTTCAAGTATTTACCGGTTAATCTTGGATTGGCGCGGTCTGTGATGTCGTATTGGCGGATGTCTCCTTGAAGCCAATTGTTCAAGTAGAGGTACTTGTCGTCCAATGACAAGAGTATATCACTGATGAAGCCTTAAAACAATTTAGTTAACTTTCAATCATACATTTAGAAAATTTGTTTAGAATTTAGATTGAAATTATTCCAATTGAAAATTATAGGCTGAAATATAAATAAATGAATTTGTAAGCAAGCTATATAAAGATGCCTTACAGTTTCCTTTTCTGGCTTAAATCAAGGATTAAACTATGCTTCAAACAAACTTAAAAAGTTTTACTTGTTATTGAGTCAAAACAAAGTATGATATGCATGAGTTTGATACTTATAGTACATAAAATAAGTTTAAGAATTCTATTTGTAATGTATACCTTGCATGTATTCCATGGGCCAATCTCCTCCTTCAACTTTCAACTGTTTAACGTCGATGACTTTATCGGCTGTGAAAGTACCATCGGCTTTCTTGTAGAACCTTGAAATGAATGTGTTAAATTAATATATTTTGAAGCCTATTTGTTGGATAATTATTAAAAATAAAGAAAAAACCATATTCGGCTTATTTGAAAGCTGTAGTTTATACCTGTAGACGTTTGCGTTAACAGCGGTTCCAACGTATCCTTCGCAAATGTTCGGATCATGCAAGAATCTGACCTCCAGCGGAGCGCATCCATCCATTCCAAGATCGATGGTTTGAATTAGCTTCCTCTTTGTCCAAGAATAAAAGTTAAGTGCAGTTCCATAAGCTTCGGGGTCAGTCACGTGAGATGGTAAGAATCCGGTCTTGAAGATCTTCGGAGCTGCCCATTCGGAGGCGACCATCACGTCGAACTTGGGTTGGTACCAGAAATCGTAACCGAATTTGGCCAACTTATCTCCTCTCGTCCAAGTTCCCTTCGTCTTGAACGTTTTTCCGTCGAAGAGCATGAAATCGCCCTTTCCATTGCCTTCGGTATCTCCCAAAGTGCTGATCATGATGTCACCGCTCGCCAAGCAGTGACTCGTGTGCGGACTCGCGCAGTTATATTTGTGCATCTCATTGGAGTCGATGATCTTGTGGATGCTTGGAGAACGCGGCTTCTTTCCTGTTTCCACGACAATAATCCTGTCGGATCCCAAGCATGGCAAGATCAACTTGTCGCGAACGTGCCCTTTGCAACCATGGCAACTGGAGCAGGTGTTCCATCCGGAGTGGTGGATCTCATCGTTGATTTTACCAGTTGGCAACAAGTGCACGATCTATGAAAATTCAAATTATTGGAATTTTCATTCATTTTTATTATGAAGAATATATCATAGTATAGTTTTTTCTTGTTTGGATAAGCAACTATCTCAAATATGTTTTCGATAGACTGTTTGAGTACATTTTTTTCGTAACCCATTAAACATAGGTTGAGAAACGCTGCTATTATCATAATATATTCTTACATTCTTTGTTAATGTTAGTATATTAGTAATTACAAATTTACAATTATAGTTTTATACCTGTTGGTAAGTCTTTGATTTTGGGTCAACATCAACGGTGGACAAGATATCGGACTTATGACCTTCCGGATTCGGTTGAACGCAAATCACGTAAAGCAGTTTTTCCCTTTCCCCGTGGAGAAAAGCATCCATGGGAGTCGCATAACCGGGTCCTGCAAATTAGAAAAAAAAAGAAATTGCGTTTTTAAACATTGAAAAAAACAAATTCCTGTAATTCAATACAATAATCGTACGATTATAAATATAACAATTCTAAATGCGATGTTTAACGACACGCAACTGCACGTAAATAACTAATTTCAACACATTTTTTGCTATTTTTGTTGTTGCTTGTAAATAGTTTCTTTATCTGTCATTCCCAGGAAACGCTTATTACTCCGGACAATGTTATTAGCAATAGAAAATGAGCCAATTATTTCATATTATCGAAATGCTTCCTATCTCATTGGTAATCGTAGAATTACATATTACATGTGGCTCCGTTTAACCAACGAACGTCAATCTTAATGTTCTTAAATTGCTTCTTCTCTAGGTCAAAGTCTAAACAAGTACTAAGAAATAACATACAACTAAAGATCAATGTTAAAACTTATATTTTGTTATTTTCTAAAAGTGAAATTATTATTAATACATTAAGTGAAAAGAAATCAAATATTAGATTAAGTTATTAAGAGATGCAAATGTAATCTGCGAGAAAATATGCATGGTTTATTAGCGGCAGAAAAATACTCTCTCAATTGAAACAGATGTTAGTAAAATTGTTACGTAGCAGTGATTTATTGCGCAGCGCATACATTTCGCATATTCATATTTCAAACTTCCTCATTCATATTGATTATTATTAATAATTAGCAAAAATAAATACTTTAATCAAAGAAGAATACATTAAAAACAATGCCGGTGCGGGTTTTCTTTGTTTGTTTATCACATTTCGTATGTTTAATTAATGACATACACAGATGTATATTATACACACACACGAGATGTATGTAACTTTTGTTTAATAATTGAGATGCGATTCGTGAGAGTGATTGATTTATTCATTATTAAACACATGAATTTCTTATTCTGATTGTAATGGATCTTATTTTGTTGTGAATTATTCAACGTTATTGGTCTGTTAATTCATTATATATTTTATTTCATAATATTTCTTCAGTAGAAGTTACATATTTCTTGATAAAAATTAGTCAATTTAGGTTTTTTTTTTCTATATCTAATTTTTGATATAATGACTATATAAATAAAGCAATAAGAACGTAAATAATTGCGTAATTAAAAAGAGAAAAATGTTGATTTTAAATAATTATTACGTTATTATTCTGTTAATAAACAATAATTTATATATATTATAATACATTTCGCCATATTCATATTTCGAACTTCCTCATTCATATTGATTATTATTAATTATTAGCAAAAATAAATACTTTAATCCAAAAAAGAATACATTAAAAACAAGCAATTCGTTGAATTCAATGAAATTACAAGTGTTTTTGAATTCATTCAATCGATTTGAACAATAAGAATAATTATTTAAATTCATTTCTTATTATTTGTTGTTGTTATTCTTTTTCAGAGTTTAGTGATCTTGGTTTTTCCATACGAGTAGAAATTATATTTAGTTACGAATTCTCAATTAGGATACATTGACTTCAACTATGGTTTGTCTTTACAAAACAAAATGTTTCTAGTTTTAAAAATGATAAAAAAACATTACTATAGAAACAAGTTTTAATTGTGTAAACATAAAAAAGAACACGTTGAAATTTTATTTAATTTATTTTATCATGAAGCAAAATTTCAACAATAAATATCCTTGAACGTAAAACGTATGGTTATTTCGTGCGATTCTAATGCATTGAACAAATTCAGTTGGTTTTAGCGTGTTTCTTTAATATTTATGACATTTATGACATTAGAGTTTAGTACATTAAATTTGTTGCTTATTTATATTTTATATTATTTATTTTTATCATTTTGAACAAATTACATATAGAAATACCTCGAACAGTACGGGTAATCACACAAAAAGAGAATTTACTGTATTTCTAATTGAACCAATTACGTATAGAAATACCTCGAACAGTACGGGTAATCACACAAAAACGGAATTGACTGTAGAAATTTATGAATTTTGGATTATAAATTTATTTTTTTTTGAAATTTCAAACCGGACTATGCGAGGTATTGGTGTATAAGATAATAATTATTTGAGTATTGATAAAAATTTACTTAAATCTTGTGAAAATGAAGAGTTAATGATAAATAATTTTCATATTTTGTTGACAAAAAAATAATGTGATTGCAAAAATTCTTATAATAACATTTCCTTTACAAATGTAAGTTGGAGGAGGTCATTTAACTGTTATTAAAAATTATCTATTTTATCTCTAAAAATTATATTTTATCATCGTGTTGACTAATACAGCGTATTTTCGTTATGTAACTGTTTAAAAAAAAATATACATATTTTTTTCTAAATATAAAGTTAATGACATGATTGGGTAACAGGAAATAAGATTGATCGTTTCAAGTTTTTAGCGAATAATTTAAAGTCGCACGAAACTGACATTTAATTATGTAAATGTAAATTTGAACACTTTTATATCTCTTTTGATTATGAGGATAAACATAATAGTACACATAAGTTTCTTTAAAAAAAAAACGAAATTTTGTTATGTAATGTTTTTTTTTAATAATAACTAAAAAATAAGAGAAGAACAAAATTAATTGAAGGAAATAAACTGTTAAGTCTTTGAAATCACTATTTTCACTCTCTCTTTCAAATAACACTCGAATCTTTAATACACAATTTGATGATGCTCGTTTGGTCTCGTTTCATCCGTACAAGAAAGTACAGAACTTCCAACATCTATAACCGGTCTTGAAACTTGGAGATAAAGTCTGCTGACGAAGCTACCAACTAGTTGGCTAGTGTCAAGTTCATGGCCACAGCTGTTTTGCTTTTCAACTAAAACCAAATACGTTGAGCGTTGGTTGTTTCGATGCGATCGGGAGCCGTTGCGTAACGATTGAATAAGTCACGTTCAAGGCGATAGATTAATTTTCCGAAACCCATCACGCGAGATACATAATCAATGCATATCAATCAAGTTCGATTGTGTTTTAACGTGTGTTTAGTTCGCAACGGGATTACAAAAATGAAAGTCATTTTGTTGAATGCAAACATCAACGACGATAAGCAACTAACTTATGTAAAAAAAATGAGGAAAATACAAATATTTGCATTAAGAATTTTCATCCGTTAATAGTAAATAATAACGTCAATATTCTGGATTTCAAATACAAATTTGTTATTATTAATTTTGAATAAGTATAGAAATTGTCAAATATTATTTTTATATTTATCAATAGAAAAATTATTATATAACAATAGAAATTTAATGCTAGTTAAGTAGAAAATTACGATTTGCTACATTACTAAATCTGAAAACCATACTGAATTCTCACGACTGAAAAACCTATGGTTAAATACAAAGTAATTTTCCTAAGAAATGTAATTAAAATATTTATAAAGTTGAAAAGAAAATATGTGTTTAATTTCAGTTAATATCTTTTTCGTTTACTATTTTGCTAAAAATATGGTCTATACTAATTATAATTTTCTTTTCATATACTCTGTGTATATTTTACCAATTATAATTAATACATTTTAGGCAAAAATACTTATTAAAGTTTGAATTTTCTGTATTTTTTTCATATATTTTCTTACCTCTATTATGTAATTATATATAGTAATTTCAATATTATATAAAATGTGTATTTTTTGATGAATTTGTAGTTATTTTCTATATTTTTCAATCTTTGTAACAAATTTTCGTTATAAATTTCTATAAACTAAATTGTTTATTTAAAATAAAATACATAAAACTACTTAAATTATTTACTTTTATCGCTTGAAAAATGGAACTAGATACGATGATGAACCCAAAAATACGTTGTTTTTCCACTAGTTTCACTATCAGAAATCCGATATATATATAAAAAAAAGTATCACAAAATTTGTAATTTTTGACATACCACATTTATCCACCTCGGTATTTCCATTACCGCATTTGTCCACCTCCATATTTCCAAATAAACTTAGACCGTTTTCAAACAGTTAATCAAAAAAAAAAGATTGGTGAAGTGATGTGTTTCTATTTCACTGGAGAACCACGTTCAAGGCACGAAAGCTGAGAGCGGACTAACTGATGGTTCCATGCTTCGAGGATTTATGTATTTATACTTGTTCGGGAAATGCATTATTATGTGGATTGCATGCGTGACTTTTTGGTGCGGTTTTTCTTTGTTTGTTCATCACATTTCGTATATTGAATTAATGACACATACACATGTACATTATGCATTATGCGCACACACGAGATGAGATGTATGTAACTTTTGTTTAATAATTGAGATTCGATTCGTGAGTGTGATTGATTTATTCATTATTAAACACATGAATTTCTTATTCTGATTGTAATGGATCTTATTTTGTTGTGAATTATTCAACGTTATTGGTCTGTTAATTCATTAAATATTTTATTTCATAATATTTCTTCAGTAGAAGGTACATATTTCTTGATAAAAATTAGTCAATTTAGGTTTTTTTTTTCATCTAATTTTTGATATAATAAGCACTTACTTATGATAATAATGATTATATAAATAAAGCAATAAGAATTAAAAAGAGAAAAATGTTGATTTTAAATGATTATTACGTTATTATTCTGTTAATAAACAATAATTTATATATTTATTTTTTCTTCATAACTTGATAAAACTTCAGCGTATTTTATTCCAATATTGACGAAAATAATAGTTGTAAACTATTAAAAAACGGCTATTATTTATTATTGAACAACATTTTATTAAATAGATCCAAAATATTGTACTGCAATACCTCATATAGTAATGCTTCAATCAGTCCGGATTTAAATATAGTTTGAATAGGTTTTAAAATTTCATAACAAACATAACATAATTGTTTTTTTACATATATAATATATATAAAAATTCCTCGATTAGTCCGGTTTTAAATAGTAATAATAAAATTTATTGTACCAATAAAAAACAAACAAAAAAAATCTTAATACAATAATAAAAAATAGAATAAAAATTCAATTGCTGAAAAACGTATTAAAATAAATATGAAAAAAATTATAGATATTATAATTCTAAAATTCTAAATTTCAGTTCTATCTTTTTTTTATAAAGTTGGACATATTTAATCATTGTATGTTTCGAACTTTCGTTATTAATTAATTAAATAAAATTGAACATTTTTTTTATTCATTTTCTATTTCGTTCTTAATTTAATATAAAATTTACAACATAGAAATAAATTCTAGAAAATTAATGTGCAAAGTTGTTCTTTTTATATGTATTTTTTCTATTTCTATTTTATTTAGTTCCTCGATTAGTCCGGTTTCAAACACTATGCAAGATATTGCCGTATTACATCTTTTTACTACCTTTTTTTTTTATAAAATTGGACATATTTAATCATTGTATCTTTCAAACTTTCGTTATTAATTAATTAAATTAAAATTAAACAAATTTTTATTCATTTCATATTTCGTACTTAATTTAATATAAAATTTATAAAAAAAAATAAACATTCTGCAAATATGCAGGAAACACAATATTTGTGTTAATGCATTAATGAGACTACTAATTACGTAATTTTATACTCTCAAACAAAGCGGTTGAAAAGAAAAACATCAAAAATGATGAAGTGGAAATTAATGGTTTTATATTTTTTTAACGGTAAAGATCGTACAAATTTTCTTGTGTAATGTTAATAAGAAAAGAAAAATGTATATGAAAATGATTTTTTTTCATAAAAAATTACTTTGTGAACAAACTTTATTAAGATAACATTAATATATGATATAAAATAGAAAATAATTCAAAGATTATGTGAAATGTTGTAATTAAAATGGATTTTGTACAAAGTCAATTTAATATATATTATATAAATAAGAAAAAAAAATGTCTCAATAAAATTATTGATTAATTTTTTTAATTAAAATATGCAGAGAACCGTAAATTGACGAGTTTTGTTGAGTTTTTATTGAAAGTTTATTAAAATACGTTTTTTTTAACGTAAAACATGAATGAAAGACATAAAATTTAAAAAGAAAACAGAAAATATGGAAATTAACGAATTTATTGAATCAATAATAATGTTGTAGTCTTATAAATTTCATTACACAAAACATATTTTTCTCATCAATGAAATTTCATCATTACAAAAATAAACAAATATCAATTTTTCAATTATTTATTTTATCCCCATCATAAAAAAAGCAATATTTGTTTATAATAAATATTAATTATAAGCAAATAAAAGCTTTTAATAATTATTACTTTATACACAATTTTTTTTGTATCGTTATTGATTCAGTTACGAAATAAATACAGATTATTATAGACGTCTTATAAATTCAATTATGAAAAAACATATTTTTCTCTTCAATTAAATTTATCGTTAAACCTATTGAATTTTCAATTATTTATTTTATCCTTGTTATAAAAACAAGCAATATTTGTTTATAATAAATATTAATTGTAATATAAAATAAATAATCTAAATGGTTTTAATAATTATTACTTATTACACTTTCTTGTATCATTATTTATTTATGAAGTAAATACAGATTATTATGGACGTAATTACAAAAAAAAACGATAAGAACTGGCATTTCGTAACAACTTAATAATATATTTTTGAATAGAAAAAAAAAAACGTTTGCTTTTTGAGGAAAAAAAAAACTGCAATTATAATTAAACAAATATATTTTCTAAACCTTGTAATGATATAAAAAGGAGAATTTCGTGGAATCCAATTGAATTAACTAGGAATTATAACAGTGAGGATGATTTGGCACATCTCGGTTATAGGATATCAAGTTTACTAAATCGTGACACAATTTGCGTTGATAATTTTGTATTTTTTTAACGGAAACAACAAATCATGTTTTAATGCGTGAAATTGTCACCTCTAATTTGTTATTATCCACCTGTATAATTATTTCTAACAATGCTTTTTTTCTATTATTACAACCATGTATTAAGTATTTATCTTTATACAAGGTTTAGTAATTAATAAATTTGTATAATGGAAAATTAAAGAAGGAAAAGTGTGAATTTCAAAATGTTATTATTTTCTTTAGGAAAATGTGCTGAATAATTGCGTCGTTCAAAATAGAAATTTAGTGGAAACTTGTGTATATTTTTTATTTTGAATGTAATAGAAAGGTCAAATGTAATCAGTTTATTATCGTTTTCTGCTCTCTTCTTTGGTTGTTTATCATATTTTTTTTTGTATTCATTACAATGCTAAAATCTTCCTGAAATCTTAATGAAAGTCATTGATTACATTATTTAATTAAACATTAACATTAATTAAAGAAGTCATAGATTGCTGCAATCGTAAAATATTTATTAGGTTTTAGTGCATTACAATTGTTTACTATTAGAGATATTTGGTAAATACTTCAGTGCTTCAGTGCCCCATTACGAAGTTACGTGTTTTCACTAGTTTTTCGTAATTTCGGAGCTGAACCGTACTTATTTTGGTAGCCAAATATCAGAAGTACAGTCTCCGCCCGGATATCTGCAAATTGTAAGTTTTAATTATAAAAAGCGTTTAATTATAAAAAGCGTTTTCGAACCTCATTTCGTGGGCGAGTATAGCCCCGTCCGGTGTCTTCCCGAAATCGATCACGAAGTTCTCGTCCAGTTTCATTCCGCCGTTCTTATGATCGATATCGATCTTCGCGATCCATCCGCCGTCTTCCACAGCGTCCGGATAAAACTGTCTATCCCAAACGGAGAATAAGCTGTTGCTCACGTACAACCTTTTTCCGTCGAGTGAAAGCTGCATCATCTGCGGTCCTCCCTTCAAACGTTTTCCCTTGATGGTCACGGGATTCGGAGGAGTGAATTCCTCTTCGACTACTTTTATCGGTGAGTCGCTTACCAGTTTTCCACCTAAGAACACTTGAGCTGTGGAAAGAGAAGGAATTATTATGATTTATTTCTTGAGCTGTTTTCTTTTCTTGGGTTACAAATCAATTTCGGATGGGCGCGATCTGTGATGTCGTATTGGCGCACGTCTCCTTGTATCCAGTTGTTCAAGTAAAGGTATTTATCATCCAAAGAAAGGATTATATCGCTTACGAAACCTTAAAAAAGATGATTTGTTTAAGAGTATTCACTGGGAATTCACTAGAGAATACCTTGCATATATTCCATGGGCCAACCTCCTCCAGCTACTTTATATCCTTTAACATCAATCACCTTGTCAGCAGTGAAAGTCCCATCTTCTTTCTTGTAAAATCTTGAAAATAAAAACTTTAAGATTATTTTCACTCGATTTTGGGTATTTGTTACCTGTAGACGTTAGACATTACGGCGCAACCAACGTAGCCTTGACATTCTTTAGGATTGTGCAGGAATCGCACTTCGAGAGGAGCGCAACCATCGGGTCCCAAATCGATGGTCTGGATGAGTTCCCTCTTGCTCCAGCAATAGAAATTCAGAGAAGTACCGTACGCGTTTGGATCTATGACGTGAGATGGTAAGAATCCGGTTTTGAAGACTCTTGGAGCTCCCCATTCCGTTGAGATCATCACGTCGAAGTGCGGCTGGTACCAGAAATCGTACCCGAACTTCGCCAATCTTCCGTTGGTCCAGGTACCTTTCGGTTTGAAAGTTTTACCATCGAACAGGATGAAATCACATTTACCGTTTCCTTGCGTGTCGCCCAAACTGTTGATCATAATCTCACCGCTGGCTAAGCAGTGGATGGTGTGCGGGGTGGCGCAGTTGAGGGCGTGCAGTTCCGCAGCTTCGACCGTCTTGTGGATGCTCGGGGCTCTTGGATTCTTCCCGGTTTCCACTATGATGATCCTATCCGAACCCAAGCAAGGGAGGATCAGTTTGTCGCGGACCATGCCTTTGCAACCGTAGCAACTGGAGCAAGAGTTCCAGCCGGAATGGTGGATTTCGTCGTTGGATTTACCCATCGGTAATCGGTGGATGATCTGCACGAAATACAATCATTGATGTTAAGATGTTAAGAAATAGGTACAATAAGACCTGTTGGTAAGTCGATGATTTCGGGTTGACGTCCACCGTGGAAAGTATGTCTCCTTTCTTGTTCTCCGCATTCGGTTGAACGCAGATTACGTACAGCAACTCTTCCTTTGGACCTTTGTTCATTGCATCCAAAGGAGTAGCATATCCAGGTCCTTAAAAATACAAAAAAAAACATTTATTAGAAACCAATATTTATTTCAAATGAATACGTAAATTAGTTAATCTTTTAATCTTGTGATGATGATAATATTAGTAATTTTTTGAAACATTTACGATTCTATTAAAATCAGGAATCAACGTGGTATATCATTTAAGTCCTTGGATAGATACAGGATTACTAAATAATTTAAAAAAACTCGCAGAAAAGTTACAAAATTTTAATAAATATGACAATAACAAGATTGATAAAAGATTGATCATTTGTGTAAAAGATTGATCATTTATTTATCAATTAAGAACTAAACATTAAATTTGGTGATTATATTCGTTTTTTCAGAAATAGATGAAAATCTGCAAATAATTAAAACAAATCGCAGAAAAGTTAAAAAAATTTAATAAATTTGACTATCAAACTATTGATTATAAACATTTCTTTTTTGTGTAAAAGATTGATCATTTATTTATCAATTAAGAACTAAACATTAAATTTGTTGATTATATTCGTTTTTTTCAGAAATAAATGAAAATCTGCAAATAATTAATACAAATTTGAGAAAAGTTACAAAATTTTAATAAAAATGACATTAAAAATATTGATAATTCAAAATTCTGTGAGTATCAAAGATGTTCCAATGATGATGCGTATTCAAAAAACATTATCTATATCTAATCATAAGTTTTTTTTATTGTTACTATATATTTAAAATGTGATAAGATGTGAAAACATAGTCAAGTGTAACTACCTTACACTTACACATGTTTCACCAATATTTTCATTAACGCAGTTAAAAGAAAATTTGTGGTATTTTCCCAACGTCTGCGTTTTTTTTATCATGAATAATTTCTTAACAATTAGTGTTTGAGTTGTTTTAAAAGTAATCTTATCGCATTTTCTTTTAACAATGATGAATTTTTAACAATCCCAATTGTTTGCAATCGGTCTGACTGCGATTATGAATGGTTTTTGCAATGAAAAGCAGTGCTTTAGTAATAATCATAATAACATGTGCTCTTATGAGTAACAGCTATGCGATTTGATTACAAACCAGATGGCGCCATTTCGTAGAAATTGAATTTGTTGAAGTTTTCTGTTGAAGGGATGATTTCGTACTGATCGAGTCGCTGAGACGCGGGGATGTTTTAATACTCTTCTATCTATATATGTTTTGTTCCTTATCTCCTCATGCATCAAACCGGATGGGATGCGTGTTTCAAATTAATGTCGCATTTATCGTGATCTATCCAATTGCAGTCGCTTTTATTTATTCTTCTAAAGCTGTAAATTGGAGCTTCTATCTTTAGATCCTAATCATATAATGATTCAGAATGATTATGTGGTATTAGCGTTTCGTAAGGCGATATTATAAGTGGATTTGAAGATTTCTTGTAGGCAACCAAACGAACATTTTGTATTTATTTCAAACATAATTATCACATTATCTCAGTAAATAATAGTATAAACCACACTAATTAGTATTAATAATATAATATTTAATATTGTTATTCCGTAATCGTATTTGTTTTGTAATTTTTGAGATTTTTGTTGATTCAAATCTTGAAAACTCTAATTTTGAGACTAATTATTCTTTATAAAATTAGGTTTAATACATGTATTTGTAATATATAAACTTTATCAATTTTAGTAGAAATATCGTAGAACTATCATAAGTTTCTTGGACTTCATAAAAAACTAATCAATATTTGAAATCAATATTAAAATGGATTTTATATATTTTTCTTGTAGAAATATCTAAAATCTAAACAGAGTTGATTTAATAAAATTTAATATCACATTTTCACTTATATTTTCATATTATAATGTTGTGTTAATATTGTTGGTAAACACATTAATAACTCGATTTTATATTTGAAAATTGATAAGATGTGAAAGCATATAAAAAATGTGCAATATTTTCCAAACGTCTGCATGCAATAAATGCCTTTTTGATGAGTAATTTCGTAACAATTGTATGTGAGTTGTTCTAAAAGTAATTTTATCGCTTTTTTTAAACAATGATGAATGAAACATTGTCTGGCTTCAATATCTTCAATGGTGGATTGTGAAATTTTCTATATTGTTGCTATAATCCAAAGAAACAAGATTTGATGGGTAAAAAATATTATGAATTCTCTTAAAATTTTTATCGTCTTTTATTAATTCTAAGATAAACACTGAATATTTTCAGGATATGAAAGGAAACATATCAAAATCATAAATTTATAGTATTAATTTTATTTTGTTTTAAGTGTACAATTTGGAAATACTTATTTCTTTAACCACTAGAAAAAAAACTGAATTGTAGTAGAAATTCTCTTAAACTCTATTTATTTCTTAATATATTTTGTCATAATTCAAAGATAAAACTGATTTTTAAATGTTTTATTTTATTATGTAATTAAGTGTACAAGTTTTAAAGATTCAATTATTTTAATAACGTGCAGACAACAGTATTATAAGTGAGAATATTTCAAACAAAATACAAGTGATGTTTTATCAACTCCATTCAGAAATCCCATATGTGCATTTTACTACTGTTTCTTAATATCGGAGTTGAATCGCACTTATTTAGCCATCCAGATGTCAGATGTGCAGTCTCCACCAGGAAATCTTTAAAACAAAACGTTTTGGTTTTTATTACTAACTTTATAATTGTTTTACCTCATCTCGTGAGCCAAAACAGGTCCATCCGGAGTTTTTCCAAAATCGATGAGGAAATTCTTATCCAGCTTCATTCCGCCATTTTTATGATCGATATCCAATTTGACAATCCACCCTCCTTCTTGTACTGCCTCTGGATAGAACTGTCTATCCCACACGGAGTATAGATCATTGCTCGCATAAAGACGTTTACCATCTAAAGATAATTGCATCATCTGAGGTCCACCTTTCAAACGTTTTCCTTTGATAATCACAGGTTCTGGCGGAGTGAATTCCTCTTCGACCACTTTAATTGGTGAATCGCTTGTTAATTGACCACCCAAATACACTTGACCTGTTGAAATTATGAGGATATTTATTGGGTTGAGTTTTAGTTAATTTTGATAAATTTACCAGTTAATTTTGGATTGGCTCGATCGGTTATGTCATATTGCCGGACATCCCCTTGCAGCCAGTTGTTCAAATACAAATATTTGTCATCCAGTGAGATAACTAAATCGCTTACGAAACCTTGAAATATGTAGGTTTTCAACATTAATATCTTTGATTTTGTGTAAATTACCTTGCAAATATTCCATAGGCCAACCTCCTCCAGTGACTTTGTAACCTTTCACGTCAATTACTTTATCTGCTGCGAAAGTTCCATCTTCTTTTTGATAGAATCTAAGGAGTGTTAAGGTTTAATTTATTGTGCAAGAGTTAGAGTTGTTTTTACCTGTAAACATTAGACATTACTGCGCAAGCAACGAAGCCTGTGCATTCTTTAGGATTGTGCACGAAACGCACTTCGAGAGGAGCGCAACCATCTGGGCCTAAATCGATGGTCTGGATGAGCTCCCTCTTGCTCCAACAGTAGAAATTAAGAGCAGTTCCGTAAGCGTTCGGGTCAATGATTTGGGCTGGAACGAAGCCCGTCTTGAAGTTCTTCGGGGCTCCCCAACCTGAAGAAATCATCACGTCGAAGAAGGGTTGATACCAGAAATCGTACCCGAATTTAGCCAATCTTCCGTTGGTCCAAGTGCCCTTCGGCTTGAAGGTTTTTCCATCGAGCAGCAGAAAATCGCATTTGCCTTGACCGTCAGTGTCTCCCAACACGTTGATCATAATATCACCATTGGAGAGACAATGGATTGTGTGCGGAGTGGCGCAGTTGAAGGCATGCATTTCGGATGCTTCCAAGATCTTGTGGATGGCCGGAGCTTTAGGGTTTTTACCCGTATCCACGACGACGATCCTATCGGATTCCATGCACGGTAAAATCAGCTTATCTCTGACCATCCCTTTGCAACCATAGCAACTGGAGCACGTGTTCCAACCGGAGTGATGGATTTCGTCGTTGTTCTTACCCATATGCAACCTGTGGATTATCTGTTTGGAAAATTAGTGAGTTGATGATGGTGTTAAAGAGCTTTGGTGTTAAACCTGCTGATAGGTGGATGATTTCGGATTGATGTCGACCGTAGCAAGAAAGTCTCCTTTCTTGGAATCGGCGTTCGGTTGAATGCAGACAACATAGAGAATCTCTTCTCTAGGTCCTTTGTACATAGCATCCAGAGGAGTAGGATATCCAGGTCCTTTAGTAATAAACGATAAAATTATATATATTTTTAATGATAAATACTACACGAGATAATACAAGCTTATTATAAATAATTTCATTCTTTAAAACTAAAAAATACAAACCGGATGAAGGCATGTTGTTTGAAGGTTAGAGCTTCTTCGAAACGGAACTTCTTCGGATTGCGTTGAACTGGTGGACTCTAGAAAACGCACTAAAGTTTTTATACTCTCGATTCGAACCTCCCAGAGCGATGCGTATTTAAAACATATTAATAATAATTTGTTGTTTCACCCTCAGGGGTGCAATTACGCAACGCAAACGCACGCACTATTTCTCGTCGTTCAGCTCCACAACTTTCTTCGCCATTTCCACGGTAAAATACTGATCCTCATCCTTCAAGAACCTATAGATGATCGGACTCAGCAGCTCTTTCCTAACCGGAGCCTCTTGGTTCTTCGTGAAATACGTGACCAGTGAACCAACCAGTAAAGATACAATAGCTCCAATCATACTGTAATAATAATACGAAATTCTGTACATAAAGAACACCTCGTCCGGTTTATCCAGTATTCTGAAAATCAGTTGTATTAATTCATTGATCTTTGGAGTTGTTACATTCTCTTACGTGGAGTTTTTGGGGATGAAATTGAAATCGCAAGATTCCGTTGATACTGGCAGTGAGGAATACGTGATCATTCCTTTGGCTTTGTAGTATTGCGTCCCAATTATAATCCAGGTTAAGAAGCATAAAGATGAGACGGCTCCATAGAAAGCGCCCTAAATGAAATTGAATTCAATCATTAACAAATTTATTTTTGTAAAAGTTAATTTACCTTAGAGTTAGCTTTTGGGAAAAACATTCCGAAAGTGAACAATCCTAGCAAAGGTCCAGAAGTTAAACTGGATAAACTGATGGAAAGTGGTAATAATACACCCATATGCTCCACGATGAACACCAAACTAGTTGAGACTACCCCAATGATGACCACTATTAGTTTGAGAACGTTACTAACAGTTTGTTGGGTAATATCTTCGGGCATCAATCTCGATACAAAATCCGTGTACAAAGATCCGGATAAGGAATTCAATGTAGCCGATAAAGTACTAAAAATATAAATAAATAAAAGCTAAACTAAGCGAATTTGAAAGAAATAAACCTTAAAGCTGTGCAAAAAACGCCGGCTATAAACAATCCTGGTAATCCCGGGATGTGACCGGCCACGTCCATCACGTAATACGGAAGAATCTGGTCGGTTTTTTGTACTTGTCCCGTGGTTATCGGATCGCAATTGTAGTATTTAGCGTAAATAATCAATCCGGTGAAAACGCACGTCATTTTGACTATGGTTATGCCAACACCAAAAGCAAGGACTGCCCTGAAATCAAGTTATTAACATCATTTAAATTTAATTGTAGATGTTTTACTTTTTAGAATCTCTGAACGTTGGTAAAGATAATAATTTCTGCACGGAGCCTTGGTTGATCGAGAAATGCGTTATGTAATATACCGAAAATCCGATCAGCATCGACCAGAACGTATCTCTTTTTGATGGATCAAAATCGAAGCTGCAATAATAATTCTTGTTACATATTGAATTGCTTATTTGTAAATGAAAGCTTTACTCTACATCCAATCTTCCTCCATTTAAAGAGATTTGGTAGACAGCCGTAGGTCCTCCTGCTGCTTTAACACCGTAAAAGAAAACCGCAATCATGGCTCCAACAGTTACTGTAAATTGAAGAGTATCCGTCCATACCACAGCTTTTAAACCTCCAATCGTGGTGTAGAAGATGCACACACCACACACGATGGGTGTTATCAAATGGATGCTTACGTTAGTAGCTGAAATTTAATGATTAGTTTAAAGAAATCATTTCGTAATTTGATTTACCTTGTGAGAATGCCAAAGCCGGAACGTAGATTATGATGGGTAAATAGAAGATAGCCGAAAGGGCGTACAAGAATGAAGCCATCAATCTGACCCTCGTGTCGAATCGTAACTTCAAGTACTCGAACATACTTGTAATTTGTAGCTTATAAAACACCGGCAGGAATACGTAGATTGTGAGTAAGGTGTTGATGAACATGCTCATGAAGGAAAGGCCATAACCGAAGCCGAATCTGTAGACGTCAGCTGGTACCGCTAAAATAGATACTCCAGAAACGTGACTAAAATCAATTGAATTATATGAAATTATGTAATAAATATGGTTTAAATAAAAGTACCTAGCTACTAGGGACACGGCAATTGGAAATATGTTCATCTTTTTTCCACCCATTAAGTACTCATTTGCTGAGGGTTTCTTCTTGTCGAAGAAACCAAAGTAGACGCCGATCAAAGTGCTGACCACCAACATTCCACAGAACAGGACGTAATCGTACCAAGAGAATTGCACTTTATCGTACCACGTGCGCACCGCATCTTCAGTTACATTCAATTCCATGATAATAAAAGCATGGAAATATCTACTATTCTTAAAAGAAAAGCGCACACTTTCGCTATTTTCGATAGTAGATTGTGGAATAACAAAATTTGAAGCAAATAACATTTATATAGGACGAAACGTTCCTTGATTTGTCAGAATTAAAACCAAATTTAGAGTGGAAAGACTTGATTTATTGCTGCTAATCCTTTAAAAAATATACATTTGTACAGGACTCTAATTTGTCAAAATTACTAGCTGTTGCGTAATATCTTTTCTCATAACTTAAATTAAAGCGTGAAAATTTGAAAAATAACAATTATTAATAATTTCCTTAAAAATAGTGATAAAAAATGGATCTTTTAAATCAAATTCAATAATTAATAAATTGCATTACTTAATTAAATTACATTGTAATTTATATGTTACAATACTAGTGATAAATAAAAAAGTTTTTTTTCGATTTTCTCGTAATTTAAATTGAAATAAGCAAATTGGAGATATTTAAACTATAATAAATAATTGTGATAAAAAAAACAAATTTGTTGTATTTTAAAATAAATTAAAAAAAAATGATGGAAAGTAAAATTGAAATTAATCAAATTATAATAATTAATAAATATTTATTCGAATTTCATTGTTAACAATTGTTGTGATGATGATTTAAAAAAAAAAGTAAATGATGACAAAGTGTGTACAAATGTTTAAACTGAATTAAACTGACAGTAGTGAGGTGAATTACATTGCGCACTTCGTACATCAACAATGCCTAATCTTTATTTGCTTTAAAACCAGTTACGATGAGTGCGTAGAAAGTGGTGGAAAATTTTCGCCTATAAATGAAAAAAAAAAAGAAAACATATTAGCGAATTACGCTGAAGTTTGTAAACGAGACATGATAGAAAAAAAAAAAGAGTTTCGGTGGAATGTTTCCATAATTGAAAAAAAAATGATAATTATAATACGAAATTGGTCCACGATTACGGGAAATTGCTTTGTCGATTGGATCTCCTGTAAATAGTGGCGTAATAGCCTGTACATGATTGCAGCCAATTACATCCGCCTACGTGGCCTATATTGAGTGTATTCTCTTAAGATTTGAGGCCGTTCTTGTTGTTCGATAATGCGACGATGTGCAGGGCCTTGTCGATGGAGTGGTATTTGCCCTTTTCCTCGTCCTCGTTCTTATCGAGGAACCTGTGTATAATCGGAGACAGCAGTCTTCTGTCCACCGGTTCTTCATCGCCAGTTCTTGTGAGTAGACTCACTCCGTATCCCACGATGAGGGCTACGCTAGTGGTCATAATGGTGTAATAGTAGTACGTTATCCTGAACATGACGAAGACCTCTTCAGATTGCTGCTCGATTAAACTGAAATTTCACGAATTATAATACATGAGAAGGTAATGTTTCTAAAATATTTACGTTGCATTTATCGGCGTGAAATTGGGGACTTCGAAGTCGCAACCGTCGATGGAAGCAGGTTTTGGGATGAATTTAACTATACCCCAAGCGCGATACAAGTAAGACCCCAAAATGATCCAGATGGAGAAAGCCAAAGAAGCGATGGCTCCAGCCAAAGCTCCTTTAGAATTGGCCTTCGGGAAGAGTATACCTAAAGTGAACATGCCGAGAAGTGGACCAGTGGATATGCTGGAGATGCTTACGGTCAAAGGTAGCAAAGTCCCCATGTGCTCAACAACAAACACCAAACTAGTCGCAACTACTCCAATAATAACAACGTTCAGCTTCAAGATGTTGCTCACTTTCTTCTGGGTAATATCCTTTGGCATATACCTAGCTACGAAATCTTCGTAGATTGTTCCAGCAATGCAATTCATCGTCGCGGATAAAGTACTAGAATCAAAGTTATAGTTAACAAAAGTAACAGCGATTTTTAGATTGATTATTACCTCAACGCAGCGCAGAAAACTCCTGCTATGAAGAGTCCAGGCAATCCGGGGATTTTCGCTGCAACGTCCATTACGTAATAGGGTAAAAGTTGGTCGGGTTTGTCGATGCTTCCGGCGGTGATCGGATCGCAATCGTAGTATTTAGCGTACATTATTAATCCGGTCAGGACTGTAGACGTTTTGATCACCATCATCCCTATGATGTAATAATAAACGGTTCTGCAACGATGAATTTAATCGATTATTTCTTGTTCATCTCATTTTGGTTACTAGATTGAGCTATATCATACGATAATCATTAAGCGTAATAGATGGATTATTATGCAATATTCATGTTTAAGATAAAACTTAGATCTTTCCAAAACGCTTAAATTAGTGATATACTATTTACCTAAAATAAACTTTCAAATAAATTTTTCTAATTATTTTAAATATTTTCTTCTATTTTACTTAATAATTCGAAAAATGCACTTCTTTTTAAATATTTGTGGATTTTTTGATATTAATGTTTTTAATAAGTTGATATAGTAATAGTGATTATGAAATATGCATATTAAAGATAAAATTATGGTTTTTACATTATACCTAATAGTTTTATGTATTCTGTCTGCCAATTTGTAGAAAATTTCAATATTTATTAGAAGATTATTAAATTAATTGATCAACTATTATATAAATATTTGTTTTTGTTATCAATTCTAGTTCTAGATTATCATACGACAATCATTAAGCGTAATAGATGGGTTATTATGCAATATTCATGTTTAAGATAAAACTTTGATCGTTCCAAAACGCCTAAATTTGTGATATACTATTTACCTAAAATAAACTTTCAAATAAATTTTTCTAATTATTTTTTAATATTTTCTTCTATTTTACTTAATAATTCGAAAAATGCACTTCTTTTTAAATATTTGTGGATTTTTTTGGTATTAATGTTTTTAATAAGTTGATATAGTAATAGTGATTATATAATATGCATATTAAAGATAAAATTATGGTTTTTACATTATACCTAATAGTTTAAGGTATTCTGTCTGCCAATTTGTAGAAAATTTCAATATTTTTTAGAAGATTATTAAATTAATTGATCAACTATTATATAAATATTTGTTTTTGTTATCAATTCTAGTTCTAGATTATCATACGACAATCATTAAGCGTAATAGATGGGTTATTATGCAATATTCATGTTTAAGATAAAACTTTGATCGTTCCAAAACGCCTAAATTTGTGATATACTATTTACCTAAAATAAACTTTCAAATAAATTTTTCTAATTATTTTTAATATTTTCTTCTATTTTACTTAATAATTCGAAAAAGTGCACTTCTTTTTAAATATTTGTGGATTTTTTTGTATTAATATTTTTAATAAGTTGATATATATGCATATTAAAGATAAAATTATGGTTTTTACATTATACCTAATAGTTTAAAGTATTCTGTCTGCCAATTTGAAGAAAATTTCAATATTTTTTAGAAGATTATTAAATTAATTGATCAATTATTATATAAATATTTGTTTTTGTTATCAATTCTAGTTAGCTATTTTGAAATAATAGTTTATTTATATGTTATTTGTGTTTATTTTGTTATACATTCAAATGTTGACTGATCTTCTAGTAAAATATGTGATAATATTATTGCAAATGATTCGCGCTGTTGTGTATGTAAAATTAACTACGATTCACACACGTGCCTAATCCAAAAAACAAACATTTGAGGATAATGGCCCGACTACCGTTTAGTTAATTGTGTAATTAATTATAAAATTGCGAAATCACCGATGTCCGTGAAACGGTGTGAACACTCTATAAATATAAATATTTACATATGACTCTCATATTTACGACTATTTTTGGAATCGTCGCGTGTACACAAAGACTAGACGCAATTTTTTATTTTTACCGGGAAATTGAAGAATGCAAATTGCAACTTACTTTTTGGCATCGTTGAATGTTGGCACTGAAAGGAACTTTTGGATGCAGCCTTGGCTGATGGCTAAGTAAGAAATGTTTGAAAAGGACCATCCGATCATCATGGCCCAGAAGGTGTCTCTCTTCGTCGGATTCGAATCGAAACTTTAAGAGTATAAGTATTAAGATTAACTAGGTTTTTGATATTTGAATGCAATTACTCGATGTCCAAGAGTTGACCGCTTGAAGCCTTTTGGAAGACGGACGCGATTCCTCCGGATTCCACGGTTCCCAGGTATAAGACGGCGATCATAGCTCCGATTGTAATGCTGAATTGTAGCATATCGGTCCAAACGACGGCTTTCAGCCCTCCGATTGTCGTGTAAAAGATGCAGACTCCGCAGATTAAGGGAGTGATCAAGTGGATGTTGATTTCGGTGGCTTGAGCCAAAGCCATGGCAGGGACATAAATTACAATTGGGAGGTAAATCAGGATTCCAAAAGCGTATAGAAATGAAGCTAACACTCGGATTTTTGTATCGAACCTTAACTTGAGGTATTCGTAAGTGCTGGTAAGTTGCAGGTTGTAAAACACAGGTAAATAAACTAAACAGGTAATGATGGAAGGCGGTATAATTGCCAAGCAGCTCATCCAATAATTAGATCCGAATCTGTAGACGTCTGCTGGGACGCCCAGAAGGGCAATACCAGAAACGTGACTGCAATAACAAAGAACGATTAAACATTAAGGTAACAGAGGTAATCGATGTTTTACCTGGCGACTAAAGACATGGCTATGGGAAGAGGTTTCATCTCTTTACCTCCCATCAGATACTCGGTGGCGTTGGTCTGCTTCTTCTTCCCGAAAAAACCGAAGTACACACCGATCAGAGCGCTCAGGATGAGCATCATGCTGAAGAGGGTGTAATCGTACCAGGAGAAAGCAACTTTCATCATCGCTTTTCCCGCTTTGAGAGTGGTGCTCTCGAAATCATCTTCGGTGATGTTAAACATCTCCATGTCGGTTCAGTATAATTGAGTAGTTCTAGCGAACGAAAATACAGCGAAGCAGAAGTTTCATTTTATACAAATGATGACACTGATGATTGACACTGTTTGCTTTCAGAATTAATTCTTAATTTACGATTCACAAAGATTAGATAAAAAGACTTTCGCGCTTTGTGCATTCGTTTGTGTGCAATTCGAAAACAATGCTTGTTTCTGCTACTCTTTGATGCTCGTCTTCTATTTTTATTGCTTCCGTGCAATCGTCGACTTTGTTATCGAATTGAAATTATCCTGTACCAGATAATTCTTGTTAATTATAGTCAATAAGCACAAGAGATGACTGAACGCTAGTGTAAATAAAGAAAACAGATATAATATTTTAAGACAAATATATTAATTATAAAACATTTTTCGAATAATATCGACTTGCATATCGACATTCTTTCGATTGCTTAGTTTTAACATTACGTAAGTGTCGTAACATCTCTGTTTGCGTCATGGACATTGAATGGAAAAGTTTTCAGCGTAATTTTCCCTAGTAAACTGATTTATTTTTATCGGTTGATCCGAGTGCAATCAAAAGTCTCTTGAACACAGAAGACACATTAACATCAATAAGATTATATATTTATATCAACTACATTCTTTATTTAATTGCAACAAATAATTTTTTTATTTAATTGCCTTAGGTAGTAATCATAGAACATTAAGATAGTAATAAATTTGAACAGTAATTAAGTTAAGTATTTTACCTAAAGTATTCATAAAAAGTTAACAATTATAGAATGACAATAACACAAAGTTGTTTATTCCAGTATTTACAATATTCTTAACTAATCCTTACAAGTATATTGCGTAATTTGTGCATGGATTTGTGAAATGTAAATAAACTTTTAAAAAATAAGTTGATATTATATATGCAACCAAACATACAACAGTATCTAATACTGTGGAACCTCGCATAACGAGCTTTTAACTTAACGAACAAAATTAATTGTAAGAATTACATCTGTACCTGAATTACATTCAAATTCACACATTTTAACATCTCGATTATTTTATTATAAAATAAACTTATTTGTATTTGATTATTCACAAAAACAAAACAATATAATACAATTAAAATTTCGTACTTGAAAATAATTATTTCATTTACGACAAACACTTTTCGAAGGTTACTTATTGTAATTTATTTTTTGTTCCTCTATCAATGCAAATTTCCTATAATAACGGACTTGCAAAACTTTCCATTCATTTTTTTTAATGACGTAACGTCTAGATAAAATCTTTTCAAAAAGTAGTGTAATCGTTGTAACATGTTTGTTGTATGTACACTATGCAATGATGTTACGTGTGAACCTTTTTTTTTTCGTTGTGCGAATTAATGATAAATTACACGTTTCTCTCGTTGCAACAATGATGAATTGCATGATAAAAATTTTATATTATATGCAATTACATTCAGCCTTCCATTTATCGAGAGATCCATCATTAATTATATACTTATTTTAATACATCCATTAAATTCTTGCAACCAACTCTTGTAACCAACAATACTTGAAATCACATTTTTTTGTAAATAATGGCGTGTAATCAGGTACAATTGGCATATATTGAGTGTATTCTCTTAAGATTTGAGGCCGTTCTTGTTGGAGAATGCGAGGATGTGTAGGGCCTTGTCGACGGAGTAGTATTTGCCCTTTTCCTCATCCTCGTTCTTATCGAGGAACCTGTGTATAACTGGAGACAGCAACCTCTTGTCCACAGGTTCTTCATCACCAGTTCTTGTGAGCAGACTCACTGCGTATCCCACGATGAGGGCTACGCAAGTCGACATAAGGGTGTAATAGTAGTAGCTTATCCTGAACATGAAGAAAACTTCTTGAGATTGTTGCTCGATTAAACTGAAATTTTACCAATCTATAATAAATGAGAAGTCATTTTGTTCTTAATATTTACGTTGCATTTATCGGCGTGAAATTGGGTACTTCAAAGTCGCAACCGTCGATGGAAGCCGGTTTCGGAATGTATTTAACTATACCCCAAGCGCGGTACAAGTAAGACTCAAGAATGATCCAGATGGAGAAAGCCAAAGAAGCGATGGCTCCAGCTAAAGCCCCTTTGGAATTGGCCTTCGGAAAGAGTATACCTAAAGTGAACATTCCCAGAAGTGGACCAGTGGATACACTGCCGATACTTATAGCTACAGGTATCAAAGACCCCATGCGTTCAACAACAAACACCAAACTAGTCGCTACTACTCCAATAATAACAACGTTCAGCTTCAAGATGTTGCTCACTTTTTTCTGGGTAATATCTTTTGGCATATATCTAGCTATGAAATCCTCGTAGATTATTCCAGCAATGCAGTTCATCATTGCGGATAAAGTACTAGAATCAAAGTTATAGTTAGCAAAAAAATAACAGCGATTCGTAGATTGATTACCTCAACGCAGCGCACAATATTCCTGCTATGAAGAGTCCAGGCAATCCGGGGATTTTCGCTGCTACATCCATTACGTAATAGGGTAAAAGTTGGTCGGGTTTGGCGACGCTTCCGGCGGTGATCGGATCGCAATCGTAGTATTTGGCGTACATTATTAATCCGGTGAGAAGTGTAGCCGTTTTGATCACGATCATCCCCATGACGTAATAGATAATAGTTCTGCAACGATGATTTTAATCGATTATTGCGTGTTCATTGCCTTTTCATTTTGGTTAGTGGATTAAATTATCTCGCACGACAAATCTTGACCCAACAATAAACCAATCTGTGCGTAAAAGATTGTATGTTACGATATTGATATTACTGAACATTGACTCTAACAATGCACATCCTTTTAATTAAAGTATTTTAAGACATATTTTACATTGATAAATCTACCATTTCAAATCATCAAATTTGTAACTTATCTTGTGACTATTTCGTGAATTATTTTACATAATAATTAAAATTGAATTGTGAATCTTGTGCTATAATTAATATTAATTTACATTAATTAATAACAGAGATTTTTTAAAAAATAAATCGTATCTTCACGTCTGATTTAATTAATGAATTACCAGAAATGTTAATCATATTATCAAATATAAACATTACACATAAAGTTTTGACCTATTTTCAAATTTGTGTCATTTTTAGTTATCTTGAAATATTCTTTGAAATTATAGTATTTTTTCCAATTATTTTTACTATTTTTTAATGTATTCCTTTGGTTTATTAATTTGCTTGATATCCTTTTAATTAAAGTATTTTAAGACATATTTTACATTGATAAATCTACCATTTCAAATCATCAAATTTGTAACTTATCTTGTGACTATTTCGTAAATTATTTTACATAATAATTAAAATTGAATTGTGAATCTTGTGCTATAATTAATAATAATTTACATTAATTAATAACAGAGATTTTTTAAAAAATAAATCATATCTTAACGTCTGATTTAATTAATGAATTACCAGAAATGTTAATCATATTAGCAAATATAAACATTACACATAAAGTTTTGACCTATTTTCAAATTTGTGTCATTTTTAGTTAACTTGAAATATTCTTTGATATTTTTTTCCAATTATTTTTACTACTTTTTAATGTATTCCTTTGGTTTATTAATTTGCTTGATATCAAGTAAATTTTATGTAACAATATAATGTAATGTATGTATTGATTAACTGTAAATATTGGTTTTTGTTATCAATTCCAGTTAACTATTTTGAAATAATAGTTTATTAGGAAATCATTTATGTTTACTTTGTTATCCATTATAATGTTGACTGATATGTGATAATATTATTGCAAATGGTTGGAGTTGTTATGCATGTAAAATTTACTACGATTCACACACGTGTCTATTCCGAAACAACTATGCGAAATTATAGCCGAACTACTGTTTAGCAGGAGATATGAGCGTATAATTATAAATCTACGATGTCTGAAACGGTGTGAACAATCTATAAATATAAACATTTGCACATGACTCTCACATTTACGACTGTTTTTGAAATCGTTGTATGTACACAAAGACTAGACGTAATCTTCTATTTTATCGTGAAATTAAAGAATGGAAATTCCAACTCACTTTTTGGCATCGGTGAATGTTGGTACTGAAAGGAATTTTTGGACACAACTTTGGCCTATGCCTGAGTAAGCTAAGTTTGAGAAAGACCATCCAATTATCATGCCCCAGAAGGTGTCCCTCTTCGTCGGATCCAAATCGAAACTTGAAGAGTACAATTAATAAGATTAACTAACTTTTAATAGCTTTTCATGCAATTACTCTATGTCCAAGCGTCCACCGCTTGCAGCCTTTTGGAAGACGGAGGAGATTCCTCCGGATTCTACTGTACCCAGGTATAAGACGGCGATCATAGCTCCGATGGTAATGCTGATTTGAAGCATATCGGTCCAAACGACGGCTTTCAATCCTCCGATTGTCGTGTAAAAAATGCAGACTCCACAGATTAAGGGAGTGATCAAGTGGATGTTGATTTCGGTGGCTTGAGCCAAAGCCATAGCAGGAACATAAATTACAATTGGGAGGAAAGTCAAGCTACCCAAAGCGTATAGAAATGAAGCCAACACTCGGATTTTTGTATCGAACCTTAACTTGAGGTATTCGTAAGTGCTGGTAAGTTGCAGGTTGTAAAACACAGGTAAATAAACTAAACAGGTAATGATGGAAGGCGGTATAATTGCGAAACAGCTCATCCAATAGTTGGATCCGAATCTGTAGACGTCTGAAGGGACACCCAGAAGGGCAATACCAGAAACGTGACTGCAATATCAAAGAACGATTAAACATTAAGATAACTAATATAATAGATGTTTTACCTGGCGACTAAAGACATGGCTATGGGAAGAGGTTTCATCTGTTTACCTCCCATCAGATACTCTGCGACGTTGGACTGTTTCTTCTTCCCGAAGAACCCGAAGTACACTCCAATTAGAGCGCTCAAGATGAGCATCATGCTGAAGAAGGTGTAATCGTACCAGGAGAAGGCAACTTTCATCATCGTTTTTCCCGCATTGAGAGTGGTGCTTTCGAAATCATCTTCCGTAATGTTGAACGTGTCCATTGTGGTTCAGTATCATTCAACAGTTCTAACGAAAATACAGCGAAACATAATTTTTATTTTATACAAATTGACACTGTTAATTTTTTTAATTTAATCCATAATTTACAATTCACCCACTATTTTACCTTGTTTTAAATTATTAAGAATACATTTTTTATGTATTTGCAAGTAAAATTAAGCAATTACATTAACATTTTCTTCCTATTTACTAATAAATTATGTTATTATATCTATAATTTTGCTTGTATTACATTAAACATTATAGGTTTTTGTTTCTAAAAACATCTCGATTATTTTATTATTAAAATAAATGTATATTTATTTGATTATTCTAAGCAGATCAACTAAAATTATGAAGCAATTAACATTTGTACTTGAAAATAATTGTTTTCATTTCGTATACGTTTTTTTTACGACAAACACTTTTCGAAGGTTACTTAGTTTATTTTATTTTGTATCCTTTTTCAATACAAATTTCCTATAATAATGAACGATCATGTAACAAAAATATTATTACAAACTATTCCTTATACATTTTATTTAATGAACTAGATAAAATTCATTGAAAAAAGTTTCTTTTAGTTTAACTATTTGAATGGAATAAACTCCGCAGTTTTGTTTATTTAATCAATAATTGTATTGCATTAGTTTGGAGAAGTAGTGGGAAGTTTGTTTATTTAAATAAGACAACAAAGATCAAATACAGAAGTTCATTTTTATTTTGCTTTATTAATCCAATAATTTATTTTTTATTCTATTAATTTTTCTAAAAAAAAAAACTTTACTTATTTCGATACATCCATTAATGTTTTGCTATTTTATGAAGAATACTACAAAATATATCAAATATTTCTTCAAATTTCTTATAATTATTTAAAAACTACAGCTTTAATAGCTTATTAAATTATTTAGAAAATTGTCAATTTGAATCTAATAACAATATTTTTCTAATTAGCTCGCATTTGCATATATCCAATATTAATCATCAATGTCATGTGTTAATTTATAGATATAACAACTTGTTTATTTGAATTCATTTAAACATTAAATAAATAAACAAACAGATTAAAATTTGCAGCAGAAACAATTCGATATTCAATTAAATCTACCGTTAAGATATATGCGAATCGTTTAATTACCAGATAACTGCTAATTAGTTGTTATATAAAAAGAGCGTTGCTTAATTTATTAAAACGATTGATCGTCGCGAATCCGACGACGAGCATATTAATATTATTAACAGACAGTGTTTATGAACTTAAGTGCGCACTTGAATCAGCAATTAAACGTAAATATTTTAATTAACAGTCGCTTGAAGCGAACTGGAGCTCCGCCAAAACTCGATATCCCAGACGAGACGAAGAAAAAAAATAGTTACGTCATTTGCGGAGAAAGTCTGGTAAGAGTAGACACCAAAAAAATAAAAAACAAAATTAGTATAGTTCGAATCTTTGCTGATATTAGTTCAGATAATTGCGATTTGGTGTGTTCAAAATACGAGTGTTAATGGAATATTTTAGCAGACTTTAAGTGCCGTTCATTGTTATTAAATTGAAATGAAATCTGTGTACAATATAAAATTGTTTGTGTTAAATTTACTTAAATAATTTGTTTTAATTGCAGTAAATTGCTGTTGATAGAGGTAAGCATAGTTTAATCAATCAACAAAATGTGATTTGCTGCATTGTTTTTTTTCTTGTTATGTTCACAAATTTCATGATCAGCTATATTTTATGAGGCTCAAAGCGTCTATTATTGCAGAATACTTTAAGTCTGTTAACGTAAACACTATTTAATTCGGTGCGTTTCTTCAGCAGAAATGGATGTCAACGTGGAAGAGCCTTTGGATCCGAAGTTTCTTTGGTACGATTATGCTTTGTTTTCGATGATGCTGCTGTTCAGCGCGGGTATCGGCATTTACTACGGTTTCTTCGGGAAGAAGAAGGAAGTCGTCAACGATTATCTCTTGGGCGGCAAAGAGATGAGCGTCTTCCCGATCGCCATGTCTCTAACATCCAGGTAATTATTGACTAGGATCCAAATTAATTGTTTGAGATTTATTGATTTTTTGTTACGATTCTTTAGCGTTCTATCGGCTGTTTCTTTGACGGCGATTCCTGCTGATATCTACAGGTTCGGCGCGACTTACTGGCTCAGCACCATCGGTATCCAATTCGTGCTGGTCTTCGTGCTGTACGCCATCATTCCAGTATTCTATAATCTCCAATTGACCAGTATTTACGAGTACGTGGAGCTCAGGTTTCACAGGAAGTTGAGGATTGTCTGCTCGATCCTATATGCTGTTTACCAAATCACTTTTCTACCTATTATCATTTACTTACCAGCTTTGGCCATCGCTCAAGGTAATCTGGAATTATTCATTGTTATTTATTATAATTTTTGTTTTAATTCTTAGGCACAGGATTCAATATACATTACATCACGATGTTTTTCTCCACCGTGTGCATATTTTACACGACAATCGGTGGTTTCAAAGCGGTTATTTGGACTGATACTATGCAGTTCGTGATCATGGCAGGAACTGCGATTATGATTACGGTTATCGGAACCTCAGCTTCCGGGGGATTTCAGAAGATTTGGGAGGATTCCCTCGAAAGCGGCAGATTTCACATTGAGTATGTCTTAACAACAACAACAACATACACCTTGTATTAATGTATAAATCTATTTCTTAGTTTCGATCCAGATCCTAGGAAACGTGACACTTTTTGGACGATTTGCGTAGGTTTAGTTATATACTGGTTCCAATATGTTGGGGTCAATCAGAGCTGCATACAGAAGTGCATTTCCTTACCGTCAATGGCTCACATCAAAAAGTAAGTTCTTCTTAATTGATTCTTATTAGTACAAGTGCAAAATCAATTCCTCGCATTCTTCTCATTAATGCATTCATTCTATGTATTATAGTTTTCGAGAAAATCAATGAAATGTAAAAACACTGCTTTTTCGAGCATTTTTTAAATTTTGAACACGAATTACAGCCAAACGGCTAAAACCACAGTAATATATGAATATACGTTTCATTCCCCAAACATTCAGCTTTAATATGCATCTTTTTGATTCATTCTATGTATTACAGTTTTCGAGTAAATCAATTAAATGTAAAAACACTGCTTTTTTGAGCATTTTTTAAACTTTGAACACGAATTACAACCAAACGGCTAAAATCACAGTAATATATCGATACTTGCTAGATTCCCCAAACATTCAGCTTTCATATGCATATTTTGGATTCATTCTATGTTTAATAGTTTTCGAGTAAATCAATGAAATGTAAAAATACTGCTGTTTCGAGCATTTTTTTAAATTTGAACATGAATTACAGCCAGACGACTAAAACCACAGTAATATATCTATACTTGCTACATGCCCC